GATTCCAGTTCTGGCGGTGACTTGAGCCACGGATATTCTAATTGCAAAACAAATTATACCATATTAATTTTTTCTTTAACACAATAACACCGCATAGGTTTAATGATTTATAGCTTTACTTTCTTTGCAATCTGGAGCAATATAATTTGCCGTACATCCTTTGTCGCAAACACCAGTGTAAACATCACACGATTTCGATATACACCTCTCTGAACATTGTTGCTCGCAATTTACGCCATACGTACCACTCGTACATTCTTCCCATATAGGTATAATAATACAGTTTATATTTTATTAATAGAACTTGAATTCATGTTGTGCATTAAATATTAAATCTTAAATATAGAGCATTAGACACATCAAATGTCTAGAATAAATCGGAGCTAAGTCAATGAATGAAAAAAATATTGTGGAATAGATATGTAAATATAATCTGTAAATTTCCACTACRTGTAGGTCCGTTGGTAAGAAATATTTAGATCTTGGTTTTGAACACTTTAATTAATGGAATTAAAATTAAACAAATCATTTTTTTTTCACTATAGCTATTGACATTATCCTATTCATCGGAGAAGCTGAAGCATAATTCGTTTTATATGTAAAAACTTAAAACATAGTGGTTGACCTAGTTCTACATTATGGGGCATTAAAATCGAGAAAACTTACAATTTCAGCGCAATTAACACAACCATTGACAACCTTAAATAAATATTTCATATMATATTTTCGTCCACTCAGACAAACTAGCAATGTAAAAAGAGTGTAATAGCTTTGGTCAATAAGGAGAATATCGCATATGAGTTAAGTTAGAATTTGAAGGCCATGAAGTGGAAGAAAAGGTTTTGAGTATTATCTAAGAATTTAATTTCATAATTAAAGTATGGCAACCATACAGTGTTATATTCCAATTTTGATGGTACTTACTAAAAAAGTCTATAATGTTTCTATAACAATAGAATTAGTGAAATCTTCACAATATCTTGTACTAAAGCCTAAAATCATCTAGAATTTATTAAACTGTATGTAACAAGTGTTTAATATAAGTAAGAGTTGAATCAGACATTACAATAATAAATCGCTAATTTCATAAACACGTACCTACTTATCAAGGAAGACTGATTAATATGATAGGATTTGTATATAAGTGGCTCTCAAATTCTATAGAAAGRTATAACTTTAAATTTATCAATATTTAATGATAATTTAATAATTGTACATCCGTCTGTCAAAATATTCAAATCCGTTTGTAATAAAAATGCATCATTATAGGAATTTGTTTGTGGAAATAATTTCAAATCACGGCAAAAAGAAGTTTACTTGAATGTAGAAAATTAAAAACATTAATAAGTTATAAGAAGAATAAAGGAGCCAAATGAGAACTTTGAGGTACACCTAAAGTTACATTGAAAGAATTAGATTTTAAATGTTCATATTTTAATATACATGTATATTAATTGTATTCAAATCATTATAATTAATTATATACATTGCGCTTACTATACCTGTGGTGCAATTGTCTCCTGTATATCCTGCCGGACACTTGCATCCAAAACCGTTGATACAAAACATCATTTGCCGACATTTTGTTTTGTGCATTGAACACATTCCGGTGCAGTCAACGCCAAACGCGTTCGGTCCACATCCTGATAAATATATATATATATATATGCATATATAACATTTTCAAGTCATCCTATTTTTCTTATTTATACGCCAATCGCTTTCGATTTCAAATTTTCGACAATTTTAATGAATTTTTCAAATTATTTACCATGTTCGCATTTATTGCCTTTGAAGCCGGGAGGACACGTACAACCGTTTTCGTCTGAAAATCCTCCGTTAAGGCACTYCGAAGACGGTGATACAGATTTTTCCTGCCGCGTACTGTCTATAATTGTTGACATATTATGTTTAGCATAAGTGTTTTGGTACATCAATATGTGATTCAATTGTATATAAAATAAAACGTTTTCACATCTCTTGTRGGTACTTGTTTATTTTTATAACAGCTGTGAATATAATTATTTTTATGAGGGAATGAGAATTTTCATTCATCCTTTTATATACATCAATTGGTATTTTTTGTGTAGCATGAATGAAGTCAGATTAATTAAAACCTAACATGACTTGGAATATACAACATTGAGCAATAATTATACGCCCCCAAAACACTTTTTTGTTCCCAAAAAATGTTCATAGCACGATTGATAGAATATTCAAAATATATATTTATGTGCTTGCATATAATTTATTACCAAATGGATAAACATTGAAGGTTAGCAGAGATGCTTCATATGTTGTCTTTTGTAATTCTTTTGCAGCTATTGTCAATATTTCTTCCTGTTCTATTTAACATAAACAAACATATTCTTAGTGAATATAAAATAATAGACAGTGTTTATTAATATAA